GGCATGTGTTACAGCCAGTACACACAAGTTGTTCCATGTTTTTCTTTTTCTTATGCAGTTTTAGAATAGTGACTCTTCTCAGTGTTCTCTGAACACCGTTGACAAAGACTGAATCAGTCACATTTGACTGAACTGTCAAATGTTGATACTTGCTTTAAGAGGCAGATAACAGATTATTCTTGTCTATTGGCTTCTTGATCTTCTCTTGGAGCACAGGTATAACTCTCTAAAATGTGACTGTGCTATAAACTGCCAACTCAACTAGTATGTGAAGCCATGCATAAACTAAAAAATAAACAGATGTGAATCACCAAATATAGAACACTCAAGTCCTAGTTGCAAAAGGACACAAATGAGATGATAGGGTATTAACGGAAAGATGCAATTTACAGGTCAGAATGTAATAGTAACCTTTCACTGTGAAAATTGAAAATTAACCTTTGGAGTATTGGATCATTTGCGGTCATACAGTGTACTTGTTAGGTGAAAAGTAAAAACAGCCTTTTAAACAGTTTTTTGTTGTGTTGGATCTGAAAATGACATTTTATTTTGTTCTCTTATAGCAGTCTTTTTACCATATTTTAATTTTTAATAGCTACAGTAATACTTTGGTGCATCCTGCAACATGCCTTTCATGCTGGCTTTTATTTCTGGCATGTTTAAACAAATTTAAATTACTGCACGCTGGGTTCTTCCTTCATTTCTTACCAATTTCCCCCATATCCTGCTACACACTTAATGATCACATTTGGAGGCAACTCTGCTTGTCTCCTGATCCTTTTCAGAACAACATCCAGTGCTTAAAATTCCTTCTAGATGCCAGCGTAGGAAGGCATGTCCTATCCATGTATGCATAGGTACAAAGTCTTTAAATTCCTGGGGATTTCAAAAAACTTGATTGCACTGAGTGATTTTTGGGCTTCCATTCTCTGTTACTCCTTCCCTTGCTTGACAGCTTTGCTGAATTTTGGATTTTCTGAATCTTGGATTGAGTTCCTTGTGAACATTGAGAAGTATCAGAGGCTAAAGGGATCAATGTGATTTTGATACCTAAATATGATTTTTTAAAATTATTGTCTACAACATAAGAGGCTGCTGGATCAGACCAGTAGTCCATATAGTCCAGCACTGTGTTTCACACAATGGCCAACTAATTGCCCTGGAGGGCAACCAGGGCATAAAGACCAAGGCATTTTCCTCCTGCTTCCCAGCATTTAGAGGTTTGCTGCCTCTGTATATGGAGGCTCCCTTCAGTCACTATGGCTGGAAATCATTGATGGACCTCTCCTCCATGAATCTGTCTAAACCCCTTTTAAAGCTATCTATGCTTGTGGCCATCAGTAGCTTCCTTGACAGTGAATTCCACAGCTTAATTACTTATTGAGTAAATAAGTGTTTTCTTTTGTTTCTTCTGATCCTATTTCCCAACCTGAATAATTTGGTATCATCTGCAAACTAGACTGCTACACTGCTCAGCCCCAATTCCAGATCATTTATGCACACACTGAATAGCACCAGTCCCAATACCAATCCTTCAGGGACCCCACTGTTCACTTCCCTCCATTATGAGAACTGTCCATTTATTCCTACTCTCTGTTTCCTGTATTTAACCAACTTCTAATCCATGACTGCTTCTTCTTCTTATCCCATGACTGCTAAACTTACTCAGGAGTCTTTGGTGAGGTACCTTGTCAAAAGCCTTTTGGAAGTCCATGATATCTATTAGATCAGCCCTATCCACATGCTTGTTAACCTGCTCAAAGAATTAAGGGATTGGTGAGGCAGAAGCCCTATAGATTTTCCAGGGAAGCATTTTGTGTTTTGTTTTGTCTCAGGTTTGTTAGACAGCATCACCAAGCTTTCCTGGGTTTTGCAATGACCTTCAGGAGTTCTTCTCTCCCCTACTCCTCAGCCAGTATCACCTTGCCACCTGCTACAGCAGCTCCCATGGGTCACTTGCCAAGCTCTCTCCCCTCTCTTGTAAGCCCATCCTCGCTGCTTGGCATGATGGATGTTTTCTAGCAGTACCTGTGCCCCAAGCGTAGCCAGCCTCACCTTTCCAGGGCGTAGAGTCATTGCATTGGAGAAGGAAGAATAATACTGTAATCTACACATCCTTTATATCAGTAAAATTTATAATAAAATGATGTATGTATATATAGTCATTCCACCACCAGCTGGTTGTTAAACATTTATCAGCACATCGGTAACAATGCATGATAAGCTTTAGACATGGTTGTCCAATCATCTCTTTCAACATAATTTAACTATCTTCAACAGAAGCCATTGAGGCATCTGTTTTTCACTGTCCCTCTCTGTAGCATTATTTGCATTACTTGTGGTTACAGTAGCCATTCCACTATGAGAGAGGAGACACGTATATAAGAATTCTAGCTGCTGTGGGTACTGGTTCGGCTGAGGCTGATTCCTCCTTAGATGAGGAAGAGGCAGGGAGCGACCCAGCCTCCTCTGGAGTCAGCCCAGAAGAAGAACCCTCAACAGTACCTGAGGAGGAAGAGTCCCCAGCAGTTGCACAAGAGGTGCAGCCAGAGGGAGAGACCGATCCAGAGCCCGGGCCAACACCCCCAGCTGCAGACACCCCCGAGGCCAGATTCCCCGCCAAGTTCTCCTGAGTGCCCCAGACGTAGGGCACGCCAGAGGCTGACTATGCAGGAACGAAGGAGGAGTGCCAGACTGCAGCTCCTGCAAAGGCAATGGGAAGAGTTGTTAGCCTTTGCAGACTCAACTCCCAGGGAAGGGAGGACCTGCTCAAAAGCACTCCGTACACCTGTTTCAGCGCAGCAGCAACTCTGCGTAATCAGACCTGCTTCTGAGTGTGCAGCAGCCATTCCTTCTCCTTGGAAACTTGTAATCTTGACTTGACTTCCCGGCTGTCCGACCTTTGGCTTTGTTACTGACCTTGATTTTGGACCGTGTTTCCAGCTTCTCGTGTGTAGTCTCGGTGGCCACCAGCCAAGATGGCACACTAGCTTTGGTTTTGATTTGACCTACACAGCCGATCAGGTGAATTCATACCTTGGTTTTTTAATTTGGATTATTGTATGTATTTGTAGTCCCCAGCCCTGGTTTACAAATCAGTAAACATACATGAACTCACTCACAGCTTCCCTAGGGATAATCACCTGGCAAATGTTAATTATAATTAGTTGGGGTTGTCTAATATTGTACTAGCAATGGCATCCTTTCATTGTTGTTCATTTAATGAAGCATAACGAGGCAATGAATCTCTAGAAATCGAACATTTTTCACCAAAAAGGAAATTGTCGTCAAGTGAGCCTTTATTGGCATAAAAAAAGGAAATTTTATGAGAAAATGTTATCCTCCAAATTTCTGCTGTCATTTGAGATATAGGGTTTATACAAGCCGGGGCCCCGCGATACACGCGGGGGGGGAGAAGAGCTCCGTCTCCTCCATCCCCCCCCCGCTCGATGTCCCGAGGAGGCGG